GACCTTGTCGAGTTTTTCACAAATGTTTCGTTGGTAAAATTGCTTCAATTCACCAAAACGGACGTTAGTTCAGGTTATCTGGTATTCATCCAGTAGGCTCCCTATTTCATCGTTTACAAAACCTCCTTGGGTAATCACCATACTGTGTTTCAATTGGTGGTTTTCATATGTTGCTGAAAATTGGGTGGATAACTTATCCTAACTGCAAGTAAACTCAAGGCTCTTTCTCGAGGCCTAGTAGCTTAGGTCACTGCTAGTCACTGCTGCCGTAGGATCGAATCCTATCGAGGACACGGAGGTTTTCACAGTTGGATCAGATTAAGTATTCAAAGCAGTTCCGTCAAGATACCTGTTAATTGTAGCATAGGCGAATACAGGTCGTTGAATGGGTGACTCAGAGGATATTCTTGAAGAATGCATTCTGGACCAGTAGATGAGGGCATTCTACATGTTACGTCAGCCGTCTTTTTGTTGGCCTGTCGTTCACAAAAGCTATCCCACTTCACATATGACCATCTTCATCTTCCTCCTCTTTGGTTAAACTACTTACTGACCTTATCCTTAACAAACCAGGGCGGGAACTTTCAGGTATGCATGAGCTTATTTTACTTCAATTCGCACCTGGGCCTGACGCATCGTCAGGTCATAAAGAGTTGACCGAAGAAGAAAATATCACATTTAAGATATGCTCGGTTCATGCAGTCACCCTCCTATCAAATCTTAGGATTCCATAATTTTCACTACATTGGACGGATAACCTATACCAAGCTCGGGGTCGAGGTCTGGTGACTTATTTAGTTAAAGTATTAGTTGTAGTGTGATCTTGCCCTTGCATTCGCGGGCTCCAATCCCGCTGCAGCTAAAAAGTTTTTATAATTTGGCTGTTCAATAAAAGATTAATACACTACTGTTATAGAAGGTAGGCGGATGAGTACCTGAAAGTTAATAAAAGACCAGATTTTGAGGAAATTCCACCAAAATTTCTCTCTGCATACCGGTCTGCCGCTGGAAAAAGTATATCTGAAGCACGGGGCATGCATTTTACTTGCACTTAGGTACTAATTATATAACTGGTTTGGTAAAAGTAGTTTAAGTAGTGCACCTCACATACCCATAGTCCCAGCAATTTATCGGTGGAAACGGTGGTCGTAGGGGGTTTCAGGGGTGGGGAAATAGGAAAGGCAATGAAGAAATTTTGTAGAAGTAAGTGGAAAGTGGAAAGATGCAGTTAAATTTGTTTCCTGCGGCCACTGGGAGTAAGTTGTTCCACATGTAAATTGAAGGTGTGCGCGGTGCTTCCCACCGCGAACTATACTAATCGAACTCCAAAACGGTAAATTTGACTTCAGATAAGTTGAAGTAGACGACCTCCTAATCACCATTTCAATTTTATCAGGAATTTCAAGAAACCTGCATTTTGATAATTGGGTTTCCGCAATATGTTAAGTAATAATACAGATTAGGAAAATCTACAGATATAAATCAACAACATTTCTAAATAAAATGAAATAAAATGCATAAAGCAGTTAGCAAAGTATACTCCACTGCCTATCCTACTTCCTCACCACAAAACCCTTATAACCCCTAGTTCTGTAGGACAAAGTGCTTTGACTAGGGGTCCGTGTGGTGCATTACTTAAACTACTGTTGCCACTGGTTCCAATCAGCATTTACAACAAAGTTAAAAATGCAAATCAAAACATAACTCGTAAAAGCAAGGAACGCAC